CAGAAACTTTAAAATGTGTTTCAAAATGGGTGTGACGGATGTAATAACCCTTATAATAGATTTAATACAATAATATAAAATATGTATACAACGATTTTCAAATCATGCAAGGAATACAAAAAATGAACATTTTTAAAATAATTTTTATGTAAGAAATGTGGTATTAATTTTTCTTTGTTATACATCTGGCTTAAAAAAATATAAAAGTAAATGGGTATTTCGGAATGGATTGATTTTGAAAACGTGCGTCTATGTTCTAATATTCTAAACGAGAAAAATGGCCCGTTGAGGAAGGGTACAACGGGCGCTAGGCTGATAGTGCTGTCTCTTTTCTCTAAACTAAAACCACCCCACCCCCCCACCACCCCCACACACACCATCCCCCCACACACACACCACCACCCCCCCCCCCCCACCACCCAAAAAAAAACATGTCTACCGTCCCATTCAACGAAATATAATTATATACTTTTTCCAGTGTCCGCCACCTCCCCGTAAATTCTACCCCCGCCCCCGAAAATTTCAAGTACCCCCACCCCTCTCCGGGGAGGAAAAAGTCTGAAAGAAACACTGGTGTCGCGCTTAGCCACTACCCGAAGAATTGCATTAAAGAAATTGCAAGAAACCCACTTTTTAGATTAGACACATTAATTAGGCGGTAATTTTATTATAGAGTATCGATGAAGAAATTTCTTTTGAGTTAGGGAGGGGGGGGGGGGGGTCAGACGTTCTTACGCGGGGGTGGGGCTTCGCCCCTACCCGAAGAATTGTATGAAAGAAACTCTTCACGCAAACCACTTAGATTAGACAAAATTGCCTTTTTATTCAATGTTTACTCGAGAATCAATGACGTCATATTACTGTGTGCACTCTCCGGCTTGAGATTATTTTCTACTATACGACGTCATACTTCGTTTTTCGAATTACTGTGCATGTTTTTAATTTCCTTGTGTTTTCTCTAGAGCGTTCTTGTCAGATACATAGATAGATACACAGACAGCGAAACTATTAGTATTAATTTGATATTTGTTTCTTATCTTTGTATTGTATTTTAGCTCACACAATATTTGTGGACTTGTTTATTTTTGTTTTTTAATAGTGTTATTGACAAACTGTTTTCCTTCCCCTTGATTTTTTTCATCACTATTGTTATATAAGTTGATAAAACTAGCTACGCGTTTAGCTATTTTGTTTAATATTGATTACGAGAAAAATGGCCCGTTGAGGAAGGATACAACGGGCGCTAGGTTGATAGTGCTGTCTCTTTTCTCTAAACTAAAACCAAAACCAAAATCACCACCTTCATTCAATTTAACCGGAAACGAAAAATGACATTGAAAATGGATTGATTTTTATCCAGAATCGGTACTTTAATTTATACAAAATATAGTCATAGGCATATCCCTAAACCATGCACCTAATCTCATTCATGACAAAAGTCGCATTTAGAGTTTCTTTCAGGCAACTCTACTTGGGAGGAGGGGGCTCCGCCCCCCCCCCCCACACACACACCCCAAAACATGTCTACCGTCCCATTCAACGAAATATAATTATATACTTTTTCCAGTGTCCGCCCCCTCCCAGAAAATTCTACCCCCGCCCCCGAAAATTTCAAGTACCCCCCACCCCTCTCCGGGGAGCAAAAAGTCTGAAAGAAACACTGGTCGCATTTGTAGATCATACAAACTAAAGGAAGAATCTGGGCGGGGCTTCGCCCCTACCGGAAGAGAGGAAAAAGTCTGAAAGAAACACTGGTGTCGCGCTTAGCCACTACCCGAAGAATTGCATTAAAGAAATTGCAAGAAAACCACTTTTTAGATTAGACACATTAATTAGGCGGTAATTTTATTATAGCGTATCGATGAAGAAATTTCTTTTGAGTTGGGGAGGGGGGGGGGCTCAGACGTTCTTAAGCGGGGAGGGGGCTTCGCCCCTACCCGAAGAATTGTATGCAAGAAACTCTTCACGCAAACCATTTAGATTAGACAAAATTGCCTTTTTATTCAATGTTTACTCGAGAATCAATGACGTCATATTACTGTGTGCACTCTCCGGCTTGAGATTATTTTCTACTCTATGCTAAATGTGACGACGTCATATTTCGTTTTTCGAATTACTATGCATGTTTATAATTTGCTTGTGTTTTCTCTAGAGCGTTCTTGTCAGATAGATACATAGATACACAGATAGATACATAGACAGCGAAACTATTAGTATTAACGAGAAAAATGGCCCGTTGAGGAAGGATACAACGGGCGCTAGGTTGATAGTGCTGTCTCTTTTCTCTAAACTAAAACCAAAACCAAAATCACCACCTTCATTCAATTTAACCGGAAACGAAAAATGACATTGAAAACGGATTTTTATCCAGAATCGGTGTTTTAATTTATACAAAATATAGTCATAGGCATATCCCTTAACTATGCACCTAATCTCATTCATGACAAAAGTCGCATTTAGAGTTTCTTTCAGGCAACTCTACTTGGGAGGAGGGGGCTTCGCCCCCCCCCTCCCCCCTCCCCCCTCCCCCCTACACACACACTCCAAAACATGTCTACCGTCCCATTCAACTAAATATAATTATATACTTTTTCCAGTGTCCACCCCCTCCCAGAAAATTCTACCCCCGCCCCCAAAAATTTCAAGTACCCCACCCCTCTCCGGGGAGGAAAAAGTCTGAAAGAAACACTGGTCGCATTTGTAGATCATACAAACTAAAGGACGAAACTGTGCGGGGCTTCGCCCCTACCGGAAGAGATGCTTGAAAAAAAAAACTGCACGCTAAACACTTTTTAGATTAGAAAAAGTTCCCCCCTCCGGGGAGGAAAAAGTCTGAAAGAAACACTGGTGTCGCGCTTAGCCACTACCCGAAGAATTGCATTAAAGAAATTGCAAGAAAACCACTTTTTAGATTAGACACATTAATTAGGCGGTAATTTTATTATAGAGTATCGATGAAGAAATTTCTTTTGAGTTGGGGAGGGGGGGGGGGGGGGGCTCAGACGTTCTTACGCGGGGTGGGGCTTCGCCCCTACCCGAAGAATTGTATGAAAGAAACTCTACACGCAAACCACTTAGATTAGACAAAATTTCCTTTTTGTTCAATGTTTACTCGAGAATCAATGACGTCATATTACTGTGTGCATTCTCCGGCTTGATATTATTTTCTACTCTATGCTCAATACGACGTCATATTTCGTTTCCGTCTGACTGTGCATGTTTTTAAATTGCTTGTGTTTTCTCTATAGCGTTCTTGTCAGATACATAGATACACAGATAGATAGATAGATACACAGACAGCGAAACTATTATTATAGACGAGAAAAATGGCCCGTTGAGGAAGGATACAACGGGCGCTAGGCTGATAGTGCTGTCTCTTTTCTCTAAACTAAAACCACCCCACCCCCCCCCCCCCCACACACACACACACCACCCCCCCCACCCCCACCCCCAAAAAAAACATGTCTACCGTCCCATTCAACGAAATATAATTATATACTTTTTCCAGTGCCCGCCCCCTCCCCGAAAATTCTACCCCCGCCACCGAAAATTTCAAGTACCCCCACCCCTCTCCGGGGAGGAAAAAGTCTAAACTAAAACCACCCCACCCCCCACACACACCATCCCCCCACCCCCCACACACACCACCCCCCCCCCCACCCCCCCCCCCCCCAAAAAAAAACATGTCTACCGTCCCATTCAACGTAATATAATTATATACTTTTTCCAGTGCCCGCCCCCTCTCCGAAAATTCTACCCCCGCCACCGAAAATTTCAAGTACCCCCACCCCTCTCCGGGGAGGAAAAAGTCTAAACTAAAACCACCCCACACCCCAACCCCCCACCCCCCCACACACCACCCCCCCCCCCCCCCCACACACACACCACCCCCCCACCCCCCCCCCCCCCCAAAAAAAAACATGTCTACCGTCCCATTCAACGAAATATAATTATATACTTTTTCCAGTGACCGCCCCCTCCCCGAAAATTCTACCCCCGCCACCGAAAATTTCAAGTACCCCCACCCCTCTCCGGGGAGGAAAAAGTCTAAATTAAAACCACCCCCCCCCCACACCCCCCCCCACCTCCACCCCCCCCACCCCCATCCCCCCCCCCCCACCCCCACCCCCCCCCCCCCTAAAAAAACATGTCTACCGTCCCATTCAACGAAATATAATTATATACTTTTTCCAGTGTCCGCCCCCTCCCCGAAAATTCTACCCCCGCCCCCGAAAATTGCAAGTACCCCCCACCCCTCTCCGTGGAGGAAAAAGTCTGAAAGAAACACTGGTGTCGCGCATAGCCACTACGCGAAGAATTGCATTAAAGAAATTGCAAGAAAACCACTTTTTAGATTAGACACATTAATTAGGCGGTAATTTTATTATAGAGTATCGATGAAGAAATTTCTTTTGAGTTAGGGAGGGGGGGGGGGCTCAGACGTTCTTACGCGGGGGTGGGGCTTCGCCCCTACCGGAAGAATTGTATGAAAGAAACTCTTCACGCAAACCACTTAGATTAGACCAAATTGCCTTTGTATTGTATGTTTACTCGATAATCAATGACCTTATATTACTGTGTGCACTCTCCGGCTTGAGATACTGTGCTAAATGTGGCGACGTCATACTTCGTTTTTCGAATTACTGTGCATGTTTTTATTTTGCTTGTGTTTTCTCTAGAGCGTTCTTGTCAGATAGATAGATAGATAGATAGACAGACAGCGAAACTATTAGTATAGAATTATAGATTGTCAAGAATTATGCATTCGATTTTTGTTTACATTTATAGTTATGTCATGTTTTTTTTCTATATTACTTTTAGCTTAGTATCTAATATTATTAGCTCACTACCTCTAGAGTAATATTTTAATAATAATAAATTAAATTGTGCATTGTAACTTTTTAAAAAATTATCTATGTTTGACCATTGGTTTATACATTTTTCTACATGTTTTCTTGAGAGTTCAGTTCCCAGCCTACTCAGTTGGCCATCTTTGATTCTCAGCCTAGACTCAGTTGGCTGTCTTTGCTACTCAGCCTACTCCATTGGCCATTTTTGATTCTCAGCCTACTCATTTGGCCATCTTTGATTCTCAGCCTACTCAGTTGGCCATCTTTGATGCTCAGCCTACTCAGTTGGCCCTCTTCAGTTCTCAGCCTACTCAGTTGGCCATCTTCAGTTCTCAGCCTACTCAGTTGGCCATCTTTGATTCTTAGCCTACTCAGTTGGCCATCTTTGATTCTCAGCCTACTCAGTTGGCCCTCTTCAGTTCTCAGCCTACTCAGTTGGCTATCTTTGATTCTCAGCCTACTCAGTTGGCCCTCTTCAGTTCTCAGCCTACTCATTTGGCCATCTTTGATTCTTAGCCTACTCAGTTGGCCCTCTTCAGTTCTCAGCCTACTCAGTTGGCCATCTTCAATTCTCAGCCTACGCAGTTGGCCATCTTTGATTCTTAGCCTACTCAGTTGGCCATCTTTGATTCTCAGCCTACTCAGTTGGCCCTCTTCAGTTCTCAGCCTACTCAGTTGGCTATCTTTGATTCTCAGCCTACTCAGTTGGCCCTCTTCAGTTCTCAGCCTACTCATTTGGCCATCTTTGATTCTTAGCCTACTCAGTTGGCCCTCTTCAGTTCTCAGCCTACTCATTTGGCCATCTTTGATTCTTAGCCTACTCAGTTGGCGATCTTTGATTCTTAGCCTACTCAATTGGCCATCTTTGATTCTCAGCCTACTCAGTTGGCCCTCTTCTGTTCTTAGCCTACTCAGTTGGCCATCTTTGATTCTCAGCCTACTCAGTTGGCCATCTTTGATTCTCAGCCTACTCAGTTGGCCATCTTTGATTCTTATCCTACTCACTTGGCCATCTATGATTCTTAGCCTACTCAGTAAGGTGCAAGTAACGTATGACAGTCATCTAACTCAAAAACCATCATATTTACTCACCGACTAAGTTCTTTAAAAGTAAAGAGCAACAACACTGTTAAAGGGACAGTATCCACATTTCTAGACTAGAGCTAAGTGTTAGAGACGTTACAGCGAAAGTAATAAGAACAGCCTCATTGTTGCACTGTCAATGTTTTTAAAAAAAAAAATTATTTTAATAACAATATTCTTGTTTTGCTTTTTATTATCGATCTGTTTTATTTTTTTATTTTTTTATTTTTATCGAGAACAAAACATAAAAACAATCTTCTAAAACAACCAAATGTAGGTACATATTAAATAAAAATGTAATTTTGTTACTGGTTTGATAATTTTAGTAGATTAATAATTTTATATGTATGCGTTGTCTTTAGTAAAACGCTCGGATTTCGATTTTCCATTAAACTGCATAACTAGCAACGAGAACGTTTCTACATCTACAGTAATGTCACTACACACAACAAATCAGCCAGGTGTGGATAAAAGAAATAAAAAAGACAAGGAAAAGTAGAAGAAGGAAAGCATCCTAGACCTGAAGAAATATTTGGACAAGCCAATCCGAGTCAAGTTCAGAGGAGGCAGAGGGGCCATTGGTATCTTGAAGGGTTTTGATCAGCTCTTGAATCTTGTACTCGATGGAACAACAGAATATCTCAGGGATCAAGACGACCCCTTCAAAATAACAGAAGATACTAGGTCACTAGGGCTGGTTGTCTGTCGTGGTACATCTGTTGTCCTCATCTGTCCTTCTGATGGCATGGAGGCTATAGCCAACCCTTTTGTCCAACAAGAGTAGATCATTTAAAACTATAACTGGTGAATGTGTTCATGTGAGAGGTTGCTGATGTGGTAATTGATGGGAATGGTTAAGTGATGAGCTAGTGTACAGAAAGTGATGCGTGTTATTATATCATTTCTATGTTTCTTTTCTTCAAATGATTCATCCCATGCATATACATTACTAAATTTAATAGCCGGTTATGTTCATTTCTACACCTGTCTGAAAATGTGTCTGACTTTGAAATTTTATAACTGTTACATTATAAGTTGATATTTTGTTTGTGTGAGAACTTGTACAAATGACATACACAACAATCAAAACCAATGTTAAAAGTATAATTTTTTTTATTATTAAAAATGTCGTGTTAAACGTGTACTCCTGTTTTATTGCGCTGAAACAGTACAAAGATGTGTGTAGAAGACATACATACCCAATGTTTTGAATAATTAAAAAAAGTTTTTCACACAAGTCAAAAAAAAAAAAAAACATATGCGTTGTCTTTAGAAAAAATGTACCTTTAACATATTTAAAATGTAAACAGAATAGCTGCAATAGAAGAGGGTCTAAATTGTGTTCGAAGACTTGCCACAAACCCACAGACAAACACAATGTTAACTAAATAAAGCTAATAAAAGTTACCGTTTTGAATCTGTGACCTGGATGCCTAGTGGGATGGTATATTATAATCCATAAAGTCACATTTTCGAGCTAGGTTTGTATAACACCACAAATAATATCTACTTTGTTTAAAAAGTCTTGGAAGAACGACTATGACGTTAAACAAAGTGTCGATGTTTGGAACAAACAATGGAAAAATTATTTTAACTTATCAAACAAGACGGCATTCATTCCCGGATAATTGTTTTAAGTGTTAACTGATAATTTTTTTACATTTTGTAGCTCTGATACAATGTCATTACAGGGAGAGATGAGAGATGCCCATGATTTTAGAAGCTTAAACAAAACCAAGTTGTTGTCTTGAAATGTTGAAATGTTGAAAATTAAACTAATTTAATTTTTCTGTACGGTGCTTTGCGTTAGTTATAGGATAAGACATAACTCACCAAAACTTTTAATTTATAAAAAGAAAGCAACTATTATCATATTTGTGTTTTCACAAAATAAAGCGTCATTAATAACGTTAGTTGCAGGAATATTTTTATTTTATTTTTATTATTGTCAATGTATCTTCGCTGTAAAACACCACTGGTTAATCTATATAAAAGTTTAATATCGAAAGTGGATTTCGCCATTTCAATTAATTATTACATTTCTAAACTAAAGCATTTGCTATCAGATCAGTTTGTTTTAAAGTACACAAATTTTGATTTTTACACTATTGAAATGTTACGAGTTACATTTTTCGGACGATTAAATTATTATCAGACCTTGCTATTAGTTTATGAACGAAACGAACTGAATTATTGACGATTACAGTATTATTATTTTAGAAGTCAATTTAGACATGTATACAAACCGATAGGTTTATCTCCGTGCCCTGAAGCTAAATAAACTCAGACTCGAGTGAACTGAATGGATTGATTGGTGAATTTATGTCACGTGATCTAGTCTATCAGGTGAGTGGAATATTGAAAACCGTTTACCTTTTTAAATCGATCGAGAAACATTTAGATCTCCTCGAGTGTATATGTGCGTGTATGTATAAATGTGTGTGTATGTATGTTTATGTGTGTGTGTATGTATTCGTATGAAAGACATTTTGTGTACGTGACTTCATGTACGTTCGCGCTAATTTTAAATCGTATCGGTGTCAACGAACGTAACAGAATTGACCTTAGTTAATTTCCCGAGCGTTAGTCACACAGGATGGTCTTTGTTAGCCTCAGTTATTATAAATCTCGATCTGCAACAAGGCAGAACTTCAGTCAATACAAATTACGTCAACTACAATTCCAATGTTGTGTAAATAAAATGGCGTCAAAAATGAAATAATTGTAACAATTGTTTGACTTCTACGTGAGAAAATAAATACACGGACACAAAAATAAACAATTTATTAATTAAAATCTGACTCAGAAGTAGTTTAATTAAAGTATCAATTTTGTATCAGAAATAATAACTTCAAAATTATTAGCTATAGCAAGAAGCTGTACTTAATATTAAAAGTTTTTGAAAATTTGTATTTCACTTTATACGGTAAAACTGCTTCAATATTGAAGTTGGAATTTTTAAATTCTTTCAGAGATTTCATCTCTAAACAGTTTTGAAGTTGTTGTTTTTTCTGTTGATTTAAATATATTGAACTCTTTCTTCATTTGGCAAGATTGTCAATCAACAAAATAATCTACTTACAAATTACTTACATTGTTTGTATACGGTTTGATAGTGAATTTGTTAGGAGTTACTACGCGATTCTACGTGCATCTAAAAAAATTAAGCTTTCAAATTAAATTAAAATATAAATACATCAAAGTTTTTTCTGCCGAAAAAGCTACACATTAAAAAGACATAATACCTAGTTAAATGACATGTCCCTATTGTTTTTCATTTCGGTGAGATTTGTTTTTAATGCTAAACGCAAAAACATAAAATTTACTTTTTAGCACATTTCATCCATAAAATAGTTGCGCTACCAAAATTAATATTTCATTAAGAAAATGAATAACTTAAATAATAACTCTAAACTAGACTCTAGCTTTCAAAGAATTCCTATGGTGAGTGAAGATTTGAGACATGTATTTTTATCTATCAACGTTGGTGTTCTATGTGTGGGCATTTCAGCCTTCGGCATAGTAACGAATGGCATTAATATTATATTGTTCTGTAAACAAGGCTTCCAAGAGAGGATAAACATCAGCTTGTTAGGCCTAGCCATAGCAGACACTTTAGCACTATTCACAGTGCTGCTCCCTGCAATATTCAATAATCCTTTGTATACATTTTTCGAAGATAGTTTCGTGATGAATGAAATTTATTATCTGGTTGGTGGAGTGACCCACGTGATTACCGCAAGGATGACGGGATGGGTGACTGCCTTCATCACATTTGAACGCTGTCTTTGTATAGCTTTGCCGCTAAAAGTTAAAACGATTCTCACTAACAGAAGAGTTACAATGTGTATTATTGCTATTTTTGTTTGCCAAATGGCCACATCCGCTCCTGTGTTCTATTCAAATCAACTCCTTTGGAAATTCTACCCGTCTAAAAATAGAACAATCCTCAGTTTGGTGTTTACAAGCGATCGACAAATAATCGATTCCGTTGTTTACATCTTGGGAAGCGTCTTTCCTGCCATGACTTCGTTCATGATCGTCGTAGTGTGTACGATTATTCTAGTAATCGAGCTTAGAAAATCTTCAAACTGGCGACACGACAACAACATGAAAGAGAAAACATTGAAAGATTTGAAGAAGAAAAACAAAGTTATAAAGATGGTGACAACTATATCAACCATCTACATCATCACTTTTGCACCATCGGTTGCGTTCATAATCTGGACGTTAAAAGACCCAGAGTTTAACGTTACAGGATTTAATGTTAACATCTATAAAGTTGTTTATTCGTTTTCTTTTCTGCTAGAGGCTTGTAATTCCAGTGGTGGAATATTTGTTTACTACAACATGAGCTCAAAGTACAGATCGACTGCCCGTGGTCTTACAAGAGCGATGCTGGCAGTCATTAGGAAAGTGAAAAAATCTAATAGCTGTTACAATTGATTTAAAAATTTGTAGATGACTTTTTTGGGAGCGTCAAAGAATTAGGATATTTGTTAGTCCATTTTCTCGAGAATCCTGCGAGAAAGATGGACTCTACTTCACCTAGTAACCGAGACGGCTGCAGACTGAAATTTTTAAAAACCCAGCAATATATTTTACAATCGATCATTTGACTTTTAAATGTGTGAAGAGTCTAAATGTTTTAGTTATAAGTAGCTAAGTCACCTTTCTATCCACACACACACACACTTTTTTGACTGCATTGTCAACATGAACAGAAACATTTGTAAAAATAACTTGAGTGTAAAATGTAATAACCCTCAAGTGATAACAATAGCACGTTTAATTGTTCAAAAATTGTTTAAAATATTAAATATATTTACAAAGTTGCACGAACAACCTATTCCTTTCGTTTTAAGGTGGTAGGCTCCGGTAAATAAACTTTCTTAATACTCCCTAGGAAACAGAAACATTTTTTATCTGTACAGCGTTTTAAAGGTACATCCGCATATATGTTTCCATTTTTTTAAATTTGGCGGAAAAATTTTGGTAACTATGACAATGGCAGCCCTCTTGAAAAATTAACCTCTTCGTATGATTTTCCACCATTCATAAAGTTTTATATTTTAAAGAATGAATTCATAATCTACTTCCATATTTTGGGAAAGTCAGCTAAAAATTTAAAGTGCGTTTCTAATTTATTATGAATTTTCAAATTTTTTCTCTCTAATATTAAAAAAGATTTTTTTTTACCGGAGCTTAACCCCTTAAAATATTTTAAAATATGCCCAATTAAGTTTTGAATGTAGGTTGTGATTAGTTTTTTTTTTTTAACAGGTAGGGCCTATGTGTTTTGTTTTAACTGGTTGTTTAAAAAATGTTAAATGTATCAACAGGTAAAAAAAAACGTTTAGAAAATAATACTGAAACCAAATGCATGTGAAATAAAGTTATTTCCAATAAATTGTGTTGTTGTTTATTCTAATAAAAAATTTTAACGTGTTTTCAGTATTAAAATAGAAGAGAAATATGATCCACCATTATAACTTTAGGTCTAGATTGACGGACAAGTAAAGTGACATCATTTTAACGTCTCTTATTTTGAGATTCTCCCTAAAGTTTAACCTATTTGTTTATTAGACACAGAGTAATTTCTAAAACAAAAGAATGGTTATATATCCTTGATTACTCACAGGTAATACTACAAGAATTTGGAGGTTTAGAATTTCCAAAGCTTACAAGGAAATGGTAAAATAACTTTTTCCGTCTACTTCGCCAAGCTCTATCAGACTTGATGTCTTAACTTTTTCTTGCCATAATGATGGCCATTATGACACGTCTGCGGAGTTTCTTTCAGGCATCTGCTCAGGGGGAGGGGACAGAACGTCTTCAATCCCCCCCCCCCCCCCCCCACCCCGCTCCCGAGTACCAAAAAGCTTCCGTTGAATTTCCGTATGTTAAAAACTAATAGTGTTATATTTTTAAAAAATAAAAAAAGATTAAATGCAGTAGAAACACGCACTTTTTTATAAGTGCTTGTTAAATATACCCAGAGTGTTAGATATCCATTATCAGAGATAAAAGAGAAATGTAAACAGCGCCAGGGATAGAGACAATGCTCGAATTTTAGAAACAACATGATAATTGCTCTCAGATTTACAACAGCGTATACGTATTTGCTTTAGATCAACTCATGTCCAAATGGAGATAGAAACGTTGAACAAGTAACAAATCATTTGCCCGAAACAAAGAGGAAGTAGCTGTATTTAAACATGAGGCACAGCGGGAGATACTCACAATTTAGAGATTACAGGTGTAACTATTAATATTTCAATGGATACTCGCGTACAATATTTGATCACTGTGGTTACAATAGCCTTTACTGAAGTTTTTTTTATCAATCCTAGTGAAAAAAAAAATACAAACAAGTGTTATAGTGGTGTTCATAAGCTGTGTAATAAAACACATTTAAATATTGTGATTGTCTTCTATTAAAAAAAAATCCTTAAGTGAAATTTTACGCTATCGACTAGTAAGATATTTCATTGGAAATAGTGAATTTAAAGATTATAATGAATTCAGAAAACGTTAGTTCCAATGTTTCTTCAAGCTCCAAAATGTTCGAAGATTTTGTAACGCGTATCTTGGTCTTTATACTTCTCGATATTTTAGGTTTAATCATTTCTATTCTGGGCATGGCTGGAAATATTGTGAACCTAATAATTTTTCTGAAACAAGGACTAAAAGACACGGTGAACGTCAGTTTATTTTGTTTAGCTGTGTCTGACTTCATGTCTTTGGCGTTTCATGCCGTCTTGGCTATTTTTGACACGCCCGCGTACAAGTTTGCAGAATCCCGAACAACTTCCGGGGAATTCCCGTATCTGGTAGCGGGAATTCCCCACGAAATGTTCGCACGAATAACCGGATGGATCACAGTGTACATCACATTCGAGCGTTGTCTCTGTGTTGTCCAGCCACTGAAGGTCAAGTCCATCTTGACCACCAAATGAGTGTCCATTATCATGGCGGCCATTTTTATTCTTGTTATTGCAAGCGGATCTAACGTCTTCTTCACAAGTCGAGTGGTCTGGAAATTTGATCCTAAATGGAATAAAACAATGTTGGGACTATCTTACATCAGAGAACGTCATCAAATTGACTCTATATGCTCAATTTTCAGCCTTATTTTATCAACATCTTTATCTTTTATTGCTGTATTAGTTTTTACTTTAGTTTTCATCATTCATCTCAAAGCGAAGACACAGTGGCGATACCAAAATAATGCAAGCAGAGTCCAAGATAAAAATCCCATATCTACCAAGGACATTAAAGTGATAAAAATGGTTAAGATTTTATCGATTACCTTTATATGCAGTTCAGCACCGACTACTGCGTTCGCTTTATGGACTGCTTTTGACAAAACATTTTTCAACAGCGAGGCCAATGAAAATATTTTCTCCGTGTGTTTTGTCATCGCTTTTCTAGTCGAGTCGGTCAACTCAAGTGTTGGTGTTGTGATTTATTATTTCATGAGTACCAAGTTTAGGAAGAGCTTCAGGGAGTTATTTTACTGTGTTTTCTCAACAAAATTAAGAGTAAAACAATAAAAGATCGCGAATTTGTGGATTTATTATAATTCATCAGAACGTGAGTCAGATATCCTTCTCAGATAGGTAGACTCTGAGATGTTCAATGTTCTCAAATCCGGGATCTGATCTCGAGACTTACAGGCAGACCAAGTCATAATTTGTTACTCTATGCTGAATTTTCTCAAATAATAGGGCTGGTAAGTAGGTCAATAACCAGTTATATGGCTCATGCAGGTTTTATTGAGCCGTAGAACTGGTTGTTGACCTACTTACCAGCCCTATTGTGGAATCTCTTGAACGTGATTTCCTGTATGTAGACATCTGTCGCTCATGTCTTACAACTGTGGTGTCATTGTCCATTTAAAATGTATATATGTTCCTTCTTTTATTGCTTTAAAAGCGATTTCAAATTTTTTTTCTGATCTCTTTACACAATTTTTATTTTATATTAAGCAACATGTCTAAACAATTTATCGTGCCTTTTAGTTTAATATTGCTTTTTATTTTAGCGGTACTGGGTTTTCCTGAGCTCATCGTAATTTGTTACAAAACTTACGTATCTTTAAATTAATGTTCTGCTTCTAAGCTACTGCTTTACTATTTAGCTGACAATGTTTGAACAAATAAATGCTTTTAATTAACATGAGATTATCTTTTGCTTTTAATAAAATTTCCCGCTGCTTTTAATTTAATAGCGTAATCTATTGAGCGATTAGTCGAATGGCTAAATGGTGAAATCAATTATCAAACCAGATAATGAACGGACGGTATGTAAACATTTTAAGTTTAAAGATACACACCCACACTCATCATTGATTGTGAAATCACTCGCTTTTTTCATTTCGCTATGCTCTGATCTAGACAACTAAAGTATCGGTTCGTTGGGGTTGAGTACCATTGGTTCAGTTACTAGTGGACACAAGATTATGAATGGTAATTAATGTGGGATCCAATTAAGAGGTGGTGAAGGAGGGGGTAATTGCGGAGGTGGGGGGGGTGAATAAACAGGTAAGTTATTGATCTGTTGTGTATAACAAAGTAAAGTTATTGAGGGGTAATGTATAAAACTTGTCCAAACAGATTTATTTCCCCTTTACAGATTCAGAAATAACACGTAGAATTGTACTAAAAAATCTCAATTACTAAACAAATATAAGTAAATCTGAAATGCATTTAATATTCATGTTCAGCTCAACTCCGGGTTGATTAATATCTCTTTAAGTATTGTTGCTCATTGAAAGTAATGAAAATGTGTAATTAATCTGTGTTTCGACAAATTTATTCTTGAATTGATATATCCACATCAGCAGACTTGTCAGCATTAAGCTCTGAGATCACATGAGTGCCCGAATCAAATCAGGGCAAGTTAAATGAGCTAGTCATGACCACACTATCTCTTCATATGCCGAGGTCAGAGAAACAGGTGAACTCTACATCATCTGCACTTGGACTGAAAGTTTTTATCCACGTCTGGGAATTCATACGTACAACATGGTGTGTGAAACAATTCTTTGAGACAGCAGAGCTTACTGATAGTGTCAATTGTGAAACGATTTCAGTTACTATACTATTCTTCACGAGTTGGCGTCGTAAATTCGATACTTTAATTTTACCAAGTCAACCACTGAAACCCTTGGACAATTCTTAATACCTTAACGTGTAGATAAATTAACCTATAAGTAATTATTGCTAAATAATAACACATTTTTGTTCTTCATAGATAACTTCATAGGCCTACACCTACATGTTTTATTTAGAATTTATAAAAACTTTATTTGTTACATATATTTTTTTTTAAGTAACTGACGTATGATTATACACGCCATATATATTGTATATATATATAGCATATATATCACTATAATTGCATTTAACTAAATGCTCAAACTATATATACACCAACAAATTCCAAGCACCGCTATAAGACATTGATTAACAATTTCAGTAACTAATTTTGTTATTGTCGTTATCCCCTAGAAGAAATTTCCCCGGGAATTCTGTCGTTTGGGCTTGGGTTTCTCCCATGGGATGGCCGGCTTGACCAGGGGCGTGACGTCCTCCTTCTCGTTGTCCGTGGCCGGTTGAATCAGCTCAAATTTCTGGGCGTTGTGTTCGAAGCAGCCGAAGATGTGACGCCCTGGGCCGAAGGGGGTTTTCCCGATGAGGAAGTTGGAGAAGATCATCTCGTAGCTTTCAATGTTCAGCGGCCAGCGCCCACTCTGGGGGAGAATAAATAAATATATTTTATAGTAGGCTGTGTTTCTTTCAGACATTTTCTCTAGGGGGGGGGGGGAGGATGGCTTTAAACTTCCTTGATCGGGAGGACACTGGTAAAAGTATATATTTTCTATATATAGCATCTTTTTTTTTTTTAAATTTTAAGGTCTGGTCGTAACGCTTTTGAGTTAGTGTTAAGATCGTGGCCGGGGTCAGAAATGGAGCTTAATTTGGAGTTACGACTAGGATTAGGGCTAACATTAGTGTAAAGGTTCAAGACTAGTGATTGGACGCGTGGCCTAAACAGTAGAGCGCTAGGCTGCTAACTCCAAAGTCTCACGTTCAATTCCAGGTCCAAGTCAGTAGAACGTCCCTGAGTCCACCCAGCTCTGATGGGTACATAACTCATGCTAGGGAATGTAAAATCTGGGCAAAATGCTGACCACACCTGCCCTTTATATGCCGAGGTAAAGAAACATGAACTCTACTTCATCTGCTCAATGGATTCTTTTACTTTACTTACAAGGCTAGTGACAAAACTACAGTAATGGTATGGGTAGGTATATTGTGAATAAGGTAAACTCGATACAACTGGTTAACATTCTTAGAGACAGGCATACTAAGATATATAACAATAAGCAATGTATACGTGATGTATCTACATGAAAAAGGCAGAATTGTAGTTGAATCCAGTAATGAATGTTAGGTTTATGAAAATATGTATCATCAACTATAGAGTAAATTAGGACGTCCGTATTAAGTGAAATGATATTTAGAAAAAATGAATTTCGTCTTCTTAGTAAAATAAAAACCAAGTAGCAAACTCCGTGTTTCTTTTTCATTCTCGGTACACATTAGGAGCCGACCATACAATCGTAAGGGGTGGGCAGAGGCGTAGCGACCCTTCCGGCGCCCGGAAACAAACTTTTTATTTGGCACCCCCCTCGGGAACAAACCTTCAATTTTCAATTTGCACCCCCCCCCCCCCCACCCCAACTTTCCATTTGCACCCCCCCCCTACCTATATATTTTTTTTATTTATAATGCAAAACTGCACCTAAAATCTAAAATGAGATTTTAATGTGTTTTTCCAACCCATTTTGGCGCCTACTAAGGTCGGCGCCCGGGGACATATGTACCCCCCTGCCCCCCTTCGCTACGCCTCTGGGGGTGGGGGGAAATCAAACAAGCGCCATTGGAAGCCCCCAGAGGCGGGTAACCAAAAATAAAACTTCCAGGAGGACCTCACGAGCGCCTTCTAGTGGGGTCGAAGGTAAAATTCCCAACGTAGTTACAACACAATAGAAGGGGTATCGCACAAGCATCCCGGGGGTGGAGGGCTACACAGCTACAAGACTCACGTCGGTCATTTGGTCGTAAGCGTAGAGTGCTCTCGCTTCCGCTTCCTGTTCTGGAATGTTGACCATGTCTCTATAGAAGGCGACCAGCTCTGTAGGTCCCACCACGGAATCGTCTGGTGGTGGTAGAACAAAGGGGTTTTAACATACAGGTACATACTGGTTTAAAGTACATGAAGACAATGGTTAACATCAGGTTCAGGGTTAAAATTCTGGTAAAAGTTGATTTAAATACAGACACAAGTTGTTTTCAAATACAGGTACAAAAATTAAATAACAGATACAACTTGGTTTGAATAACAGGTGCATAAGTGACAGAGTATAGCTACAGTTTTAAAATAAGCGTATAAATAGGTGTTTACAGTAGGCTGCAAAGATTTCACAGCTAGCTGTCCCGGCCAGGCCCTGCACTGGCCTCAGTGAAAAACCTGTCTGTAAAGGACCATGACTTTTGTGTTTATTAAGCAGCATTTACCCGGCATTGCCTGAGTTTAGGAAATATTACTTTCCGAATTAACTCTAACCAAAACCAACTAAAACCAAAACCAAGATGTGTTATGCAATTGATGAATGTAGACTCACTGTTTCTGTCGATCATGTTGAAGAGTGTCTTTGGTAGGATCCTGAGCCAGATCGGGAAATGATGGACTCCCATACAACCTTGTAGGACGCTGGCCCACATGTTTAGCCAGACTTCAAGGGAGATGGTTTTGGCTGGGGAGGGGGTTGGGGGAGGGGGTGAATGGTAAACATTAAGGGTTAGGTGTATCGTTAACTTAATAACTCGGATTAGGTGTTTATTGAAAACTTTTTTAATGACTTCATAATTTCGTTATGATGTGCAGATGGGAAGGTACCAGAAAACTTATTCTGCTTGGCTTAACACGACCAGGGACCTTCCTCCGCCTAGTTTAATACGACCAGGGACCTACCTCCATCTAGTTTAACACGACCTGTGACCTATCTCTGCATGGTTTAACACGACCAAGAACCTACCTCCGCCTAGTTTAACTCGAACAAGGACCTACCTCCACATCGTTTAACACGACCAATGGTCTATTTCTGCTTAGTTTAACACGACCTATGACCTACATCCGCCTAGTTTAATACGAACAGGGACCTATCTCTGCTTGTTTAACAGACCTATGACCTACCTCCGCCTGGTTTAACTCGAGCTTTCTCAAAGAGGACCTCAAAAAATGCATGGTGGATCTCCTCACACTCCTTGGCTTTGGTGCCTTTTGGATCCCAGTTGGTGAAGGTCAAGACTCTCTGGGGAAATGGAAATGTAATTAAAAACAAGATCCCAATTAGTGTCAAAACTCGCGGGGGACATTAAAATGTAATTCAAATAAGATCCCAATTGGTTAAAGTCAAAACTCTCTGGAGAAAAATATATTTAATGAAAAACAAGATTCGAACAGCGTAGTTAGTAGGGTAGGGTGGTGTCGTTTTGACCCATGGGACGGTTATTTTATTTGACTCAACATTGTCAAGAAAAGGATAACAGGGCTCTGAGTGATGGATTTTATATATGATGATGCAACCTGGATATTCTATCATGATAACATTTAGAGAACAGACGACAGATTCTTCTACTAATGTTTGTGCGTGCGTGAGTGAGTGCGTGCATAGATGCGTGCGTGCGCGGTGACAGGAAAATGATCTCAGACAAAATATCTCAGACAAAATATCTCACGGACAAATGATCTCAGGACAAATGATCTCAGGACAAATTATCTCAAAGACAAATGATCTCACGGACAAAAGATACCAGGACAAAATATATCAGGACAAATGATACCACGGACAATTGATCTCAGACAAAATATCTCAGACAAAATATCTCACACCTAAATTTTAATAGTGTATTGGGTGACTTTAGTTGATCTGAACAATTTTTATTAACTGTCGTATGGTTTGTTTAATATGTTTAATATTGTTTATATGCCCATATGATAATTGTAAGAAATGTTTGCCGTATAAATTTATCAAATTGCACTTTTAAAATTGTATATTGCATTTTAAAATTAGGATTATTACTATAGAAGATTAAAGAAATTTTTCGATAGATAGCGTAGGCGGGCTTGCCAAACATGAGACAATCCTACCACGTCAGGTGGACGAAACTAGATCAAAGAGGATGAAATAACAATAGAGAAACACCTTCGTATCAAGGTGGCAGCCCGCTTTGATGGTAGAGACATGCCTTAAGGGTAAGACATCCGCCCTCCATGAACAATACAACTAATAGCTAAATTCAGTAGTTATGCGTCGGTCACACCTTAGTGATCAGGTGACTAATGCTTATTTAAGACAAACTGCGGTCATCGCGGAGTTGGAACATGTCGAGCAAGAGTTCACACAACACAATACATGATCACATAGTATTGGAGAGATGTGATCATAACGATGTACTGTCAGCAAAGAAACGTAAACGTTATGTTTGTGTTGATCATGCAATAAAAACAATAATTTTACGTTACGAACCTAGAGACCCATTAACATTTTTGAAAGATATTTCGCATGTTTTAAACATTATTGTTGTATAGCTACCGTTACTTTGTTTTATACATTATCATTTATCATACCTTTCAGGTTAAAGGAGAAAGTTTGTTTTAATTTTTATTTTTTCAAATCAAATGCTATTACAAAGATTAAGTTTATTAAATCTTTTGATGTTTTGTTAAGTTTAACAAATTCATTTTATTCACAATTATGATGCGTAAAGAAAGTAAACACAACGATATTGACAGTCAATTTAAAAAAAATGTTCAAATGAACTAAAATCATTGTACATACTATCAACATTTTGCTGTGAGATATTTTGTCTGAGATATTTTGTCTGAGATCATTTGTCCATGATATCATTTGTCTTGATATATTTTGTCCTGGTATCTTTTGTCCTTGAGATCATTTGTCCTGAGATCATTTGTCCTGAGATCATTTGTCCGTGAGATATTTTGTCTGAGATATTTTGTCTGAGATCATTTGTCCATGATATCATTTGTCCTGATATATTTTGTCCTGGTATCTTTTGTCCGTGAGATCATTTGTCCTTGAGATCATTTGTCCTGAGATCATTTGTCTTGAGATCATTTGTCCGTGAGATATTTTGTCTGAGATATTTTGTCTGAGATCATTTGTCCTGAGATCATTTGTCATGGAACCGCGTGCGCGTATATCGCACACCAGCGTGTTACCTTCATAAGTCTGTCAACACTTGTTATGTCCAGGCTTCCATCTGAATTAGGTTCTGGAATAAATACACGTTAATTAAAAACAGATCATCACTCAACACTACGGGCGCAGATGGGCCGTTGAAGAAAAATAAACCACTTAAGTACATCTTATGTACTACTTCTTAACTAAAAGGCCGTCATATGATATGACCATTTTATTGACCAGAGGCGTAGCGACCCTTCCCGGCGCCCGGGGACAAACTTTCAATTGGTGCCCCCCCCCCCCCGGAGACAATCTTTCAATTTAGCGCCTTCCCCCCCCCCCCCCCAAATATTTTTTATATTTATAATGCAAAACTGCAGTTAAAATGAGCTTTTCATTTTTTTAAACCCATTTTGGCGCCCTCTACGGTCGGCGCCCGGGGACATATGTGAAACTAAAACAAGGTGTTATAACCATCTGTAGTTTCGGAATTTGGACTTACCAAAAAAGTGGAAATAGTACTTTAACTTCTCTACCTGGAATGGTGAGAGTGTAGCTTTTCGCATGGTGTCCTGTAGATTATAAATAAAATAATTTTTCTATTAAATGTCAATTGCCGGTATTTAATTGTTTAGTAATTTTATGGCATGATAAATAAAACAAAACTGTAGGGGAAAAGAGGAAATAGAGTTTAAGGAGGTTAATCGCATGTGTTTCTTTTAGTGGAAGGGAAACTAAATTTCCGTGTGGGCGGAAACTGGTTAAATAATATATATTATATATGAATTCTATTTCGTTCGGGGGTAGGGTGGGGGCTGACGTGCTTAGGGGTGTAACCGCCCACCCACCACACCGAAGAGGTGCCTGAAAGAAACACTACTAGAGCCTAATCTCGTGTTTACAAAGAAGTCATTGTATCACCTCCTCTCTTTGAAAACTTTGGGACGGCTGCAGTGGCGGAACTAGAAAAAAAGGGCCACCCCGCAAAAAAAAATTTGGGCCCCCCTATATATATATATATATATATATATATATATATATATATATATATATATATATATATATATATATATAAACACATAATACAAACATTGGATACTCATTTCTAGCCTGATCGAGTTTTGAAATTATTTTTTTTTTCAATTTAAACAAATTACAACATGTCATGTGTGTGAGTGTCATGTGTGTGAGTGCATTAGTCTGTATAGAATTTTAGAATTAGTCTATTCAAATTTTTTTTTTTTTTTTTTTTTTTTTTTTTTTTTTTTTTAAGTCTATTCAAAATGTTTGCTGTAATACTGCCTACACTGCCCTATACACTAGTTTTTTGCCGGTCAAAAGAATATAAAACGTGAAAGCTTTGTATGTGTAATGGTTTCTCCTGTTATGTTTATTTTTGTGTTTTTTTGTATTTATATTATTCGTTTCAAATATATTTCCTTTTTATGCTATGTCATTCTTTAGTGTGCATTTCTTAAAAAAATTCATAAAAAACGTTTTAATAACAAGCTTTTATGTAATGATGCACTAAAAAGTAGAAAATAAATTATAGACTACTATTTAAATAACTATAAAGAAAAGCGTGGGTGTCTTCCTTAACATTAGTAAAGGTATCCAATAGATACTAAAGTGACCCACGCTTTTCTTTATAGTTATTTAAATAGTAGTCTATAATTTATTTTCTACTTTTTAGTGCATCATTACATAAAAGCTTGTTATTAAAACGCTTTTTATGAATTTTTTTTCAGTACTTTACATGTTTTATTTACAATAGAGTTACATGACTAAAAACCATTGCGCGCCTACTGAATATCACGTTCAGTAGGCGCGCAATGGTTTTTGAACGCAGCCATTACGTGGTCGTGATGGCGCAGCTATTGATGACGCGTGTGGTGTGGTTGGCTAGACATGCCTACTAATTCGGTCCAAATTTTAATTATTTCATAAAAAATCAATTAGGCATCCAATTAAGTCAAATTTAGTTTCAGATTGCATTGTCTTCATGTCTTGACCCACGTGCCAACTGTGAATCGTATCGGTCAAGTAGAACTGTCCGAATTTTCACTCCTGCGTTTCTATCTAGACTGACGACAGACAGAATGACGAGGAAGTGAGTTAAATAAAAGCTTGTAAAAAAATAATAATTAAGAGAAGTTATTGCTTTTTAATTTGTTTAGTACAAATACATTAAAAGCAGCTTAGGATCGCCCCTATTTAACTATTTAAAAAAGGGAATTAAGTCATGGAAGTGTTTTGATCGTTTGCCTATCTTTCAAACTACAGCTCAGGCATATATAATTTTTTACGCAACAGCATGTGTTAGCTACTGTATAACATCACTACTGTAGCAGATCTGTTTGTTATTTACAAAAAACTTTTACCGTCAAGTCAAAAATGCAAGAAAATTATTTTTTAACTATACTATAAAATTTTTTATTATGGTCGGCTATGGGCCCCTAAATGGCGTGGCCCCCCCCCCCCCCCCCCGCATTGCGGGGTCTGGCGGCACTGTAGTTCCGCCCCTGGACGGCTGATGGGTACTTGACACACGTTAGGGAAAGTAAATGCGGATGGGCACACACTATCCTTTCATATGTTGAGGTCACAGAAACAAGTGAACTCTACTTCACCAGATCCATTGACCATCAGGTTCGAAAAGGGAATATTCCTTTTAAGTTTTTACTCTTTGAAAGCTATATTACGATTGTGATAAAAAGAGAGTCTGTGTTAACTTCATAATACCCCTTCATCTCCCCTTATTTATCAAATGTATGCATGTTCTGTGTGTGTAACGATCCTTCCATTCAGCAGTGCCGGGCAAGATTTTTAGAACCCGTAATTAATCGTCACATGATCAACCAAAATGTTAACAGTGCACAGAATGTTAAACTTAAAGCTAAATTATGACCTCAATACCTGCTCTAGCTGCAGCTAAACCCAACACCCAGACCATCTTGCATTTCTAAAACTCTTTATAATGCAGTCAAATGAAGGTCGTTTTTCAACAACAACAAAAAACCCACAAGCCACATAAAAGACTATCAAAACGCAGTGGTCCTCATAAACATGGGCGCTACCCCGATTTACTAAACCCACGTAAAGCTAAACATACGGCTCTAGATCCAATGAATGAAGAAACATTTGACATACAGCAAAATATTATCGACAGAGTCTTTGGGTCTCTTGTTAAACTATCACCTTATGGAGGGTCCGTCAAAAAGAAAATTGAGAACCCATGATTCAACTTCACACCTTGACAAAAGCGGTTACACTCTTTTGTGTCAGATTTATAGCCCAACCACGGCCATAAGAGATATAATCCAGCAGTAGTGACACAGTCATCGATGCGCATCGGAGGAAAAAATAGCAGTGCAAAAACGATTTGATATTTGAATGTCAAATTTTGCACAAATTATGACAGACGTACCTTGGGCTAAACCTAACGTCAGACTGACGAAAAAAAAGAATAAGTAAAAAACGGCAAAAATAGGAGATGGAGTGGAGTACATCTGTTTAAAAATTCGAGCCCTAATGATATAATCTTTAAGATATTTGAACCCAAATCTTTGTGTAAGATTTTCCCGGTTCAGATATCTATAATACAACTCCGGCGTGAAGGTAAGGTAAAGGTTACTGTGGCGTGTATCAGACTATATGGTTGGCCACTGTATAATACGAGTATTTCTTCATTCTTTACTGTAATATCGTAGAGTATTTCCGCCAACATAATTAAGTATTAAGTGACATCATATTATATGCCATATGGACCGTTGACTCCGATTTCAGCCTGCTTTTCTTTCTGGATGTGCTTCCACAGCCTTTATCCAAGAACAAACTACAAAGGTGGCATTTGTTTGATTTTGGTGTTTTCTTTTCTATACGCGTGACTGTCCCTATATTAATTAGCCTCATCTGTCGAAGGATTCGAACTCGGGGCTTTTGCATTAGAAACAATGTGCTCTTCCGCTTGTTCTGATTTTCTAAACATTCTTACATATTTTTTAAAGTATTAACAACTCCTTTCATACTTGAAAAAAAATATAAAAGAATTTATATGAGTTGCATATTAAGTGACACGCAACGTGGGTTCATATCTGGATAACTTAAAATCTATTTCTCAATTTAAAAAAAAATATTGCTAGCGCTACGTTATTTCAAAGAACAAAAATTCGTATACATCTAATCCCCGTCGCCCCCCCCCCACCCCCACCCCCCATCCCTCCTATTCACCTCACCCACCAACCCCACTCTCTCGCAAACGCACCAACCCAGGTTGCGCAGCTCTCTGGTTGACTAAGCTAACCCAACCCTATGATTCCAGAGTATCGTCTAGCTAGCCCCTGTCTTTATGATATAATATAACGACCTCTGTCTGACATTGACGTTTATGAATGCTTTCAAGACTGCAGATTTCATTCAAGGTTGTTTCAACCGGCATTTTAAATTTAATTCGGTTAAAAAAAAACAACTGTAAGCCTAGTTTTGACGTCGAAAGGTGTTTGGTTTGCTTCTTCTAAAACAATGCCGTGCATTATAACGGCCTTGTGGAGAATATAATATCCAAAAATTTCAAGTACATTAAAAGTCAGTCCAACTGTGTCCAGCGTTTTTTTAGGTATCTCTTCAAGGATGCATTGCCCACCCACCCTCTCCCCACCCCTTCCCCAGATCACATCTACCGCCTTCCATTTTCGTTACTCTACAACATAACTAAATATTTATATGTATGAATAAAAATGAAATATAAAATAATTAAAATACACATTTTATTTTGTTTAAAATTAGCAATATATAACTATTTTTAACAATTATTTATTTCTTTATTTGATTTTACATTAATTACGAAAAGAAAATTATATAGAATATATTCTTTTAGTGTCAGTTTCCCACCCCAGAAAATTTAGTTATCCCTCCCCCTCTCGAAAGTTTTATGTACCCCGAAAAAAAAAGTCTGAAAGAAACATTCCCTTGGTCTAGAATTCCCCATGCCCTACATGTAGCAAGATCCGAACTTCGGGCTAGCAGTCGAGCACTCTTACCTAATGCATAACCTACACCATAAAGTAGTTGAATGATTTTAATATGTAAACCTTTTAAAAAAGTGTAGGCCTTAAAGCTTATATAGGCTACTCCAAAGAAACCTCTATGACCTATCCTGCGAATCAGTCTGTACATTGTTATTCCGCTCACCCCAATTAAACATTGTACATCATACCAGAGTTTCTTCCAGGCGTCTCTTCGGGGGAGGGGGGTTGCTTAGCCCAGAAGAAGGAAATGGAATGTATATAGAAAATATATTTATATCAGTGTGTCCCCCCCCCCCCCCGGAAAATTTAGTCGTCCCCCCCCCCCCCCCCGAAAATATCAAGTGCCCACTCGGTGAAAAAAGTCTGGCTGAAACACTGTACCCCCACGCTGGCGAGTTCGGAATCAGGTTGAATGTCCCTGAGTCCACCCAGCTCTGATGGGTACCTGACTCACGTTAAGGAAAGGAAAGGCGACTGGGCATAATCCTGACCACACTATCCTGTCATATGCTGAGATCACAAAAACAGGTGGACTCTACTTCACTTGCTTTACTTTACTTTACTTTTACACTGCATGCCGAACATCTTCACTAACACAATGTGCCACAAGATGACATCATTGAATGAAAGTGTAAAGTAGCCTACATTTTTACCTCAGTCAAGTATGCCTATCTACACAATACGAACTATATTTTAAGAACATCAACGTTTTATTTAATGTTTGCCTGAGTTTTATAATGGGGGGGGGGGGGGAGACGGGAGGAGGTAACAAAGTGACTTCAGCAATTTAATTAGGAAAATATGACGTCTTTACAAAGTAACTAAATAGTGTACTATTGTAGTTTTATAGTAGGTAATTCAAGGTAAGTTATTAAAAACTTTGTGCAAAGCAATAAAACTCATAAAATTGCTCTTCAATTGCAAGCGTTTGGTGCTTTGAGTAGGGCGTGTTTTATAGCTGCTTGAAAAGTAAATAACAAAAACATGAGTGAAAAGAAAATTCGGATTCTAAGCTAGGATTTAGCGTTTTGTGTTTTGAACGAATAAGTACTGAAGACTACACTTAGAAAATAATAGTCACTGTTTTAAACGAAAAATAATTGAAGACTCACCTTAGGAAATAAAACTCACTGTTTTAAAGGAATAAGTATTGAAGTCTACACTTAGAAAATAATACTCACTGTTTTAAATAAACAAGTACAAAGGACAAAAATAATGTAGAATTAAATGTTTAAAGTTAAAAGCAACTTACTTATTTCAGGTATTTTTTCACGAAATGTTATAATAAAACTTCAAATGATATTACTAACAGAGTAATACTCAAGTAATACAATCCAAATGATAGTGAACTAGCGAATGCGAATGTCGGGTGTGTCTAGCGGAACTGTTTAAAAACTAGTACACCCCAGAGGGAAGAGACAAAATTTTCCTCCATGTCTGCAGGCCACGCACCCAGAGCACTACGTTAACATTGACCTACAAAACCACGACCGTAAAGTGTAGCGGTTACATCGGTGTCGTCTGCTAACAATATGACGGCTGCTATCTGACGGAGATCTCGATATTTTGAAGATCTAGCAGGGCGTATCGAAGCTACATTTTTAGCTAGAATCGCTAACGTAAATCGACATCTAGCTGTAGTAATTTTATCCTTACACTATTACACCTGTTCTGAAGCTAATCCAAACACTAACTTTTAAGCTAACCCTACCAATAAAATTGGTAAACATTAATTTATTCATTAATTAATTAATTAGTTTTTAAAAATCTAGTTCAAATAAGATATCGCCCCGTTGAGCTCTTCAACGAACCAGAACCGTTTGCACAATTAAAAAACATTTCAACTTTTTACACGAAGGTCAGCCGCTAAAATAAAAAGTGAAGAACCTTTTCATATCTTACAATCATTAATGCAGATAAGATAAAATTCGTGTTTCTTTGACCTCCGCATGTTAGTTGGTTGTGTGGTTAGCTGTCTTGTCTTAATGTAAACCCTGCTAGGGGGGATACCTTAAATCTATCTAACTGTCCGGGTCAGTGCAACCGTGGTGAAACCCACGGTGGTTATATCTTATCCTTAGTCTAAATAATAAAAACAACTACTAAAATAAAACAAAAACTTTAACAATTAATACAATTTATTTGAAAATATGGAACCAATGGAAAATCACAAAAAAAGAATAAATAAAAACTACTGACACAAAACAGTCAAAACAAAAACAAATAAAACCAAACAAAACATTACGTTCGACTATTTGATGGTGCTGCGCCGACTTATGATGTCTAGGATGGTCCAGGCCCTGACACACAGAAACCTCCCTTCATCCATTCTCGACATCCAAAAGTCCACACCAAACAAAACACTACGTAAAACCACTACGTACAATACGTTACGTACAATACATTACGTAGAAAACAATACGTACACAACAAACATTTTACACCAAACGAAACAGAACCAAACAAAACCAAACAAAACACCTAGCCAAGTCGCACAAGCAACCTCACTCCACGCGTGAGGTGCGCCACGCGCCCACACAGAAACCGACCCTATCTAAATCTTGCCTCGGGTCAAAAAAAGAAAATTTATCCGAGCGGTCAATTTATACTGACCGCTTCGGGCGGAAGGGGGACCCCGTGGCCGTTCCCCATTGGACCATCATGCACTCACAGATTCGCACCAAAAAATTAATACAAAATAATCCATTCACCCGCTCACATTAATTTCCACAAATTGCCAGGTACCCATCAAAGCTGAGTGAACTCATGGACGCCATACGGACGGGAACCGAAGATTAGACTTACTGGTTAGTAATTGTCTGCTTTACCACTCGACCCCAAATTCCCCTCAAAACGTACAAGTCCATGTACAATCATGGCTTAAGTTGTAAAACAAGATTTTTTTCTTCTTGCTAGTAAGGTATCTGTGAAATCCGCTTAGTTCTAAAAGTAAAGTACTCTTTCAAAGTTTACGTCAGCAATTTGCTCAGTCGCCTTTACTTACCCTAACGTGCGCCAGGTGCATCAGAGCTGGGTGGACGCAATGACGTCCTACGGGATCCGAACTCGAGAATTTCAGGGTAGCAGTCCAATGCTCTACCATTCAACCATGTCGTCCCTCGCCACATAGACGGAGTCGCAGAATAAAAATGGTCAACGAATTCGTAGACAAAATTGTGTGAGAGAGATCTGGATAAAGTTGAGAAAAGTTTCAATGAATCGAAATAAGTTCTATTTAACCTCGAGAGCTGGGTCAGCATGGGGGAATATAGATCTACTGGGGGAAAGCAGAAGCCTACAAAATCCCGGTATTAGTGGCTGCTTCTAGAAGTGGAATTGCTTCCAAGTCTATCTTCTCTTGTGGTCTGTCTGGCTCTAAGACCTTGCGCCATCTACATAGAGCAGCTAGTGCAGGCCTAACTACAGAACAGTACTGTGGCACATTGACATACGAGTGCTCTAACATACGAGATTTTTTAAAATACGAGCTGTCGAGGTGAAAGGGAAGAAAGCGTTGTGATAAAGTCAAAGACCATTGCTTGTACAGTAGCAATTGTGTTCAGTGAAGTTAAGTTAGTTTAGTTTTAAGTTCCGTTAAGTTTAGGGATAAAGTGTAGCTTTAAAAATGTAACGAGTAAGTAAATTTGAGTGAAGTAAAATAATTTAGCATTAACAGTGTAAAGAGTAAGTTAGTAAAGTGAAGCTCCTCCGTCTATCTCCTATGTAAAATTAATGCACCAGTTTATTTCTTTACATTATTTATTTATTTACTTATTTATTGTTGTATTTATACAATATTTGTCATTTATAAATAGTCCTACATTAAAAAAAAAACAACAGGAAACAAAAAAAAAACTGAGCAGAATTTACTAATAAAATATAATGACATTTCAATTGATTTAAATGGCGAAAATTATTTTTGAGTTAGAGCAATTTGATTTACGAGCGAGGTTATGGAACGAATTAAATTCGTATTTCGAGGTACCACTGTAAAAAAAAAACCGTACAAAACTGATAAGAATTTACATAATCCGTTTTTTTTTTTAAAGATACATTTCTTGCATAAAATTTCATTCAATGACTCGGGTCAAACGCTTGAACAGTTATTCAGGTCGGCTACAGCTGGGTCCACAGGATATGATATCTGATAGTACATACACGACACCCAACTTTTTGCACTGCTGAAATACTGATATCCATTAGTAGTGGATAGGGCAGTCTTGTATGCATGTATGTGTGTGTGTATATATATATATATATATATATATATATATATATATATATAAATATATATATATATATAAATATATATATAAATATATATATATATATAAATATATATATATATATAAATATATATATATATATATATAAATATATATATATATATATAAATATATATATATATATACATATATATATATATATATATATATATATATATATATATATATATATATATATATATATATATATATATTGGGATCTAAGTAAAAGATTGTCAAAATAGGTTAGAAATCAGTTTATGTAACAATAAAAAAAAAAACAACAACAAAACAACAACACATCAGTAAAAGTTGAAATTGATTTATTTAAACTGTAGCATCATGACAAAACATTTCAAAAGCACAGACTTCATCACAGGTCTCATTTTGACTTCATTAAAAACATTATAACAAAAAAAAATTACATTACACTAGCACTTAAAATAATCAAGTTTAATGAGAGATGGCTTTAATGAAACACCATAACAAAACACACTACACAAAAATAAGCAATTTTGATGAGAAAAGACTTCAATTAAACATAACCAAACACACTACACTAAAATAAGCTAGTTTAATACGAGATAACATCAATACATGCAACTTAAACATTGCCTCTTTAAATAAATAAAATAAGCTATAATTATTCTAGTAGGCATGTGATCCGCTTCAAGCTATCTTAGAAAACATTAGTTCTCCAAGGAGTACTGTATTCATATTTGTTCGATTGCTTTTACTTGTAAAGTCATGGATAAGATTATGGATTAGGTTAGAGTTGTTTAGAGTGGTGCTATCAATTTCATAAACCCTATCAATAATCATAAAATTGTCATTTGATGAATGTAATCACATGATGTTTAATTTGGTAAAGAAAACATGTAATGGCTGGTAAGGATATCTGTCAGGGTGTGTAAAAATAGACTGAAGGCACTGGTGCCTCTGTAGAGGTATTGTGGCTTTATGTGTTGGGTGTGTTCAAGCGTGAAGTAGATTAGTAGGGCAAACCTGACGTCTGGTGCAGGAATGACAACAAAGATGAGACGATTAGGTCATAGGACCTACAAGGTCATGCGTCATAGGACCTACAAGGTCATGCAAGGTCCTAACAGCCAGAAAGTCATTAGAATAGTGTAGCCATAAAGGGACATACTAGAAAAGTAGAGCAATAACAGGCATACTGGAAATATTCAGCCATAATAGATCATACTATAACAGTACAGCCATAACAGGTATACTGGAAATATTCAGCTATAATAGATCATACCATAACAGTACAGCAATAACAGGTATACTGAAAATATTTAGCCATAATAGATCATACTATAACAGTATAGCCATAACAAGCATACTGGAAATATTCAGCCGTAATAGATTATACTATAACAGTACAGCCATAACAAGCATACTGGAAATATTCAGCCATAATAGATTATACTATAACAGTACAGCCATAACAAGCATACTGGAAATATTCAGCCATAATAGATCATACTATAACAGTACAGCCATAACAGGCATACTGGAAATATTCAGCCATAATAGTTCATACTATAACAGTACAGCAATAACAAGCATACTGGAAATATTCAGCCATAATAGATTATACTATAACAGTACAGCCATAACAAGCATACTGGAAATATTCAGCCATAATAGATCATACTATAACAGTACAGCCATAACAAGCATACTGGAAATATTCAGCCATAATAGATCATACCATAACAGTACAGCAATAACAGGTATACTGGAAATATTCAGCTATAATAGATCATACCATAACAGTACAGCAATAACAGGTATACTGAAAATATTTAGCCATAATAGATCATACTATAACAGTATAGCCATAACAAGCATACTGGAAATATTCAGCCGTAATAGATTATACTATAACAGTACAGCCATAACAAGCATACTGGAAATATTCAGCCATAATAGATTATACTATAACAATACAGCCATAACAAGCATACTGGAAATATTCAGCCATAATAGATCATACTATAACAGTACAGCCATAACAAGCATACTGGAAATATTCAGCCATAATAGTTCATACTATAACAGTACAGCAATAACAGGTATACTGGAAATATTCAGCCATAATAGATTATACTATAACAGTACAGCCATAACAAGCATACTGGAAATATTCAGCCATAATAGATTATACTATAACAGTACAGCAATAACAGGTATACTGGAAATATTCAGCCATAATAGATCATACTATAACAGTACAGCAATAACAGGTATACTGGAAATATTCAGCCATAATAGATCATACTATAACAGTACAGCCATAACAAGCATACTGGAAATATTCAGCCATAATAGATCATACTATAACAGTACAGCCATAACAGGTATACTGGAAATATTCAGCCATAATAGATCATACTATAACAGTACAGCAATAACAGGTATACTGGAAATATTCAGCCATAATAGATCATACTATAACAGTACAGCAATAACAGGTATACTGGAAATATTTGAAGCCAAAACAGATTATACTATAACAGTACAGCCATAACAGGCATACTGGAAATTTTCAGCAATAACAGTTAATACAATAACAGTACAGCCATACCAGGTCAAACGAGATCAGGACAGCCATACTAGAATTAAATAGCTGACTGCTAGCTTTGAATCAAGTTTGTTTACTAACCACTTAAACACTGTCAGCCCAAAAGCTTACTGAACTGCAAATTTTTCAAAAAAATGTAAAACTCATTACCTGAACAGAATAAAATTTGAAAAAAAAAAGGTAGCATTCCATTAGCTAACATAGGTCAACATCAATAGTACAATAACAACAAGCACTTTGAGATACTTAAATCTGCATTTAGGCAAAGTCAAGTACCCTTGGAGATGTAAGCTGACCCATAGGTCATACAAAAAATATACAATTGGCCCACATGTTGTTTAACTACAAGTCGGCCAAATAGCTGCAGCATGAGAATCAACACACCTAAGGAAGACAGCCAATCGAATAAAAATGGCATCAATAACGCACTTTAAAATAGAAAGCACGTATTAACAAGTACGAAGCAACAATTACACAAAGACAACAAAGAGCTCCACTATCCACTGAAGCATGTTAAAATGTTTTGTGTATGATAGCTGTCAAATGTTTTATCAGAATTTAGTTGACAAATGTTGGGTTAGTTCCCCTGAGTTAACAGAAATGAGGGATTAAATCAGTTCAATACAATGGACAAAATCATTCTTGGTCAAGTTCAGGAGGCCAGTAATATCAAGTGTAGATCGATTAAAAGTTAGATTTTCATTAATATACATACACATATATTAAAAAATTTAAATACATTTGTTAATTGTAATAAAGTTATTAATGAAACCTATATTAAAACATAGCACTACAAATTATTCTCTTGAAAGGAAATTATTAATTTAAGTAAGAGAGATGAATTTTTTTAAAAATATATTTAAAGTGAATAATTTGTTTTAAAGAAGTTTCCATTGATACTCAAAATGTCTCAATTTTTATACAGGTTATTTTATTTATTTTTTGTAAATCATTAAAACTCTGGGTACCAAAAACTACATTTGGTTAATGTTAAGTAAAAAAAGGAACTTGAATGAATAGAATAAAGCATTGACTAGCCTACAACTACCACGCCCAAATTTTAAAAACCCAGGTCCAAAATAAAGAGAAGAAAATTACTACAAAACACAATAGTTACATCCATTGTTCTAAATTTAAAAACAAAAAAAATATTTAAAACACAACTCATCTACATGTTTTACATACTAACAGGTAATATATATATATATATATATATATATATATATATATATATATATATATATATATATATATATATATATATATATATATATATATATATATATATATATATATATATGAGTGAATATTTAGTTATAACTGAGCAAATACTGGGATACTATTTTTAAAATGTGCTAAATAAAATACACTAAAAGGAAATTTGTGCGCAAAACGTTTCAATGGATAAAATGTGTTTTAAAATTAGGATAAAAATGTTTTCCATCAATATGACATCATCATGGGTTTTATTGGCCCTTCCCCCACCCATCACAAAAAAAGCCACTGGGAGAGTGAGATTTATGACCAATAATTGATATATGCACTAATTTGACTACAAACAGAAAGTCATTACACAATTAAAAAAATGAATAAATCAGCATAAAAGTTATCCATTTGGTTACAGCAAGATACATATTATACACCATAAAATAAACCTATAACTGTGGGATTTGATTAAGAGGTGGGTTATGGAACATAATGATACATGGAGCACACAATAAAAAGTGAAACAATTGGGATTTGTTCATTCATCATTTAGGAATTATTAGAAATTAAATAAATATTGATAACTTAAAGCAAAAAAAGTTGTATTTTGTATGTTCAATAAAATGTTCATAGATAACAAAATTAAATTCACAAAACAAGACTAATTTTTGTAATGTTACAATAATTAGCATTTACTGATAGGTTTAAATGAAGCTGTGGAAAACAGGATCAAATGCAATTACATTTTTAAAATATTTCACAGTTTCTTTAGTTAACAGTCACACAAAATAAGATATTTTATTCTTAAAGTGCACAGCAGCTTATTTTTAACAATTTATTTTAATTTTACAAACAAGCAAGGTTGCTTATTTGTGTCTGATAATTTATCATATCTGCCAAAATAAATATACATTTTAAAGTGAATTTCAATATCTATGTTATCAATTTGTATTACCCCCATTTTTGTAGTAGTATTTGTCACATTATCATTAGAATTAGGAGTGGATTTTAGTGTTAAAATACTTTCAAGCTGCACACATTATAAGTCTGGCTATCAAAGAGCAAAGACACAAACCAAACCCAGTAGTGTATTTTTTAACGTAAAAATGTACAGGTTAAGGAATGATATTTACTTTTCAAAAAGATTAAAATAATGTCAATCACGAGTCAAAAAATATTTTTACTTCCACTTTAAAATAAAAGGCAATTTATTCTCCATAATAACATATTCACAAACCAGACAATACTTAGTTTAATATAAAGTGTCTACTAAGGCATTAACCCTGTCCAATATGGTGGATAATAATCTTCCTTAGAAGTCAAATTGCCTATCTTGGTATTAGGGGCAGGGTATCCAGCATAATAAATTACCTCCCCTTTGACTAAGTAGCCAGCCCACCAGGAGTACGAGCCTGACGTGATTATCATATGGTCACAGCTTATCATGATAGCTAAATCAAGCGAGCCGTCAGTTTCATGAGAATAATGAACATCTGGTCCCTCGTCTAGGTTGGTCTCTGCCCATATAAGGTCGTTGGTACAGATGATGAACATTACTTTTCCATACTTCTTCCGGAAGTGGTCCATGGCTTTGTAATAATATGGAATAGGAGCAGCCGTGTAACCTTTGACACGCTGACGAACAAAATCTCCCCGACGAACATGAACCGCAACTAAAACAGCCCCTTCTAGTTTCCTCTCCTTGAGAAGATTTTTTATGTAATTATTGGCTGCGATTTTTAAACTTGGGTGCAGGAGAAAATGCTTGTTGAGAAGCTCATCACGGAGATCGTCGAAATATTTCCAAGACTGGTAGTACCCATCTAAGTAAGCATCACGTGTTGGGTCAATCTTCTCTACACCTTTGTAGTAGGTTGCTGCCTTTTCCTCGGGGTAGCGTTTAGGGTCCCTCAGGAGGTCAAGACTGCCCTGAGGGGTCGGGATCTTGAAGACGTCCAGCAGGTCCACGTCGTCGGGAATGATGGGGGTCATGTTGTAGCGCCGGGCGATGCCGATGAGGGTGGCGTACTCAAACATGTGGTTCCCCAGCCTGCCCTTGTATGTGATCATCATCCTGGGGCGCCGGTGGTCGTGCTCGTTCTCAACCCACCTCACAACATGCCGGTGAACCGGAACCTGGAACATATAAAAAAGGAAAGTTTTCTAATTTTTACTGCTGCATATGTTTATGTATAAAAGATTCCTCTTTAGACCTAGAGATCCATTGGGTAGATAAAGTTAAAATCATATGTTTCTTGACATCTGCATATGAAGGAATAATGTAGTCAGCACTAAGAAAAGCCGCCTTTACTTTCCTTAACTTGAGTTATGTACCGATCAGAGCTAGGTGGACTCTGTGGCGTTTGAACATGGATTTGAACTCTTTCATGTCAGCAGTCTAGTGCTTTACCGCTAGACCATGCCATTCTGATATTATAATGTATGCTGGGCATAATCCCTTCACAATGTAAAAAAGAAGATGAACTCAACATTTTTCTTCCTAATGTACAATGATATCTGTAAAGATCTAAAGAGAACTTCATTTATTATATTTAATCACACACAATAAAAAAAAGTCAAGGTTAGCATGCGCACCCTTCAAGCTAGATTTTAATTCCTCTATAACAGATTTGATGCAAACATGCCTAATATTATAATAATTATTATATAAAAGCATGCCATAATTGGATGTGAATAAAAAATGTACCTTATTGTTGACATACGCTATTATGTTTGTCATGTCCTGAACGTAGATCAGAAGGAAAAAGCAGAAAGCCACCCCAGTTAGAACAAAACATTTTGGACCTCTCCGTATTCTCATTGTACAAGCCCCTCCGGCAGGTCTGCGACTGATGCTAATATCTTCTTTGGACGAGACACTAACCTGGATTCTGTTTAGTCTGGATAGAAAAAATTAGGATGTCTGTTTTTTATTAAGCCTCATATTATGGGAAAAACTTGATGAAATATTACTTTTAAGTAGAATTAACATTCAGGGTCACGTTTAACTTTAATGAATGGGTTGAGTTTAGAGTTAGGGCTAGGTCATTGTGTTGACCACATAACCCTTTTACATGCTTCAGGTAATTCTCTGAATATTTAAACATATCATTTGTAGTTCTTTAAAAAAAAAAATGATAAATAGGTTTTTATTAGAAGAATTTTGAATATCTGGGTGCCTGTGAATAGGAATTTTTTTTAGATCTTTTATGGAACCTGATTTTACTAAAAATAGACTGATGGGTAAAAAAATGGGTAGATTTGCGTAACATAATAAAGAAAAGAAAATTGCAAAAAAATTCAAAATAAAACATTTGCTGATAAATAAATGCTGATAAAAAAAAGGAAGCGGATAAAAAAAAAGAAATCCACAGTTCATAAAATGATGATTATATTTTGTAAAAATATGCAGAAAAAATACCCATGTTGGAGCCTTTTCACTAGATACTTTGCACATGTAAATTCTGATGAATTTATGTACCTAAAATGATAGATTACCAAAATATTATATTTATGATAGTCTAGAAAAAATTGTAAAATAAATATTAATATTAAATATAGTTGAGCCTAATTCAATTACATTTTGCACATTGACAGGCTTTTCAGCAAACAAATCTCTGGGCTTTTTTCTAACCTTAGGCTTAGACTAACTCAGTGTTGCATTTGTTGATTTCTTTCCAATTTTGGAAAATAAAAATAAAAAAAAATAGGGTAGAAAATTTCCATGGGCAAACTCTAGGCCTAATTTCAAGTAGTTAAAGCAGTTGGCCCATGTGGTGAGGGTACCAATTTGTGTACCTTTAGCATACTCCTGTGTTAGATACTTGATGATCTTTTCACGTCTTGAGTACACATTCACACAACACACATTTTAAAAAACTCCACATTTCAAAAGTTTATGAGGATGAGTATAGTAAAGTGACATTTTGTATTTTATAAATTACAAAAAATAAATTAGCTATTTTGAAATGTTTTGAAAATAGCTTAACTTCAAAACGACTAACTATTAGGTCATATTATTTAAGGATTAATAAATAACTATTACTAGGGCCTATAATATAAACTAATACACTAGAAATGTAGACCAACTACTACATAGTTTACTTAAAAATTTTTCAATAAATATAGTCCTATACTATTGATGGTAATTAACCGGATCATGCATAAGACTACAAAAAAAAGACACAGGAATCCAGTGGAATTTCACCAAAAGGCTGAAAGATCTTGACTTTGCTGATGACACCAACTACTATCTCACAAGTAACAACATGCACAAACCAAACTGAATTGTCTATCTGAAGAAGCCTCCAAAGTTGGACTAAAAATCAATTAGAAATAAAACAGAAGTCACCAGAATCAATAACAATCAGGACCTGCCAGCACAGCTAAAAGGAAAAGATATACGAGAAACAAAATTCACATAACTGGGAAGTGTGATCAATAAGGATGGGGGAACAGATGATGACATAAGAAGTCGTATAAACAAGGCCAGGTGTGCCTTTAACTTCTTACGCCCAATATGGAATAGCACAGCCTTGTTGAGTGTTAATACTGTTTTGCTAATAATTTTTTTATTGCTTATGATTATTAGTGTTGTTAACTAAACATCACTGAAAATCAATTTTCGCTAATTCATTTTTAATACTTTTGTCAAGTTTAGTAATCATATTTTACTAATTGCCAAAAATTTTCTGCAAGTTTTTATTTCTAGGTCTATAAAATTATAAAAAGCCTTATAATATTAATTTGTTAACCAGTCCTATATTTATTTGAGATAATACGAACGATCTAAGGGGTCGTCCATAAACGATGTCACACTCGTAGGGGGTAGGGGTAATTTTGTGACAGTGTGATTAGGTGGGGGGCTATAGGAATTACCCCCCCACACACACACACATATCCACCAAGATAGAATCCATGATTCTAACACCAACTCTATACCTATATATTACCTTAATCCTAACCTTAAGACAAAGACAAAAAACTTAAGAATTCACCTCACGCTAAAATAAACCCAAAACCAAACCCATTGATTTAAGCCTAACCCTGATCCTAACCCTAACCCCAAAACTAACCCTAGACCTAGCCCAAACCCTAGCTGAACCTTAAGCTATGACTGGGGGGGGGGGGGGGGGGGGGGGGGGGGGGGTAATGTCTTACTGGGCGGGGTAGTAAGAACAACTAGAACAATGTTTAGTAGCAGCAAAAATAAGCATGTACACTTATTAGAAATACAAAATAATTAGCAAAACAGTATTTAAAATGCAACTAAAATCAATCCATGCACATTTTTAAACATTATGTATTAAAAATAATACGACGGGGTAATGATGGGGGGGGGGGGGGGAATGTCTGGGGGATAAAGCCCTGTTCCTGGGGGGGGGGGGGGGGGGGTGTTTAGATGGTGTGACGTCACACTTTTGCATTACAATGTTAGAAAACAACTTTTAACTGTTATTTCGTGTTTTAGAAAGATGTTTTAATAAATTGTAATAAAGTTCAGACAATATTTTGGAAAAATATCAATGTTTTAAGAAAACTTCAACTGCAATTCTGAGGGGGGTTGCAGGCTGAGGTGTGGCGTCATTTTAAGGGGTGGTGGTCTGGTTTATTATTGTGACGATGTATGACGGACAGAAGGGGAGGGGGGAGGTAAATTTTGTCCAAAAAACAGCATGGATGACCCCTAACCTAACGCAAATTAATTTTAAAACAATTTAATAGGCTACACATATCCTAAACATAGTAATAGTGCAAAGATCTAGTAGGCCATAATAGATTTCTAGAGCTAAATAATAGTAAACAGAGTGACTAGATTTTATAGATCTAGATTATCTTAGCTAAGCCAATGCCGCTGCCGAGAAAATCGGACGAATTGCGTTTTCCCTACCCCCTGCATATCCAACACTATTTTTTGCATGCATCCAAAATTAAAAAAGGTTAAGAACCACTATTCTATCTAGTAGATAGAATAGTGGTTCTTAACCTTTTTTCAATTATAGATGTATCAAACTATTCATACCCCACCAGATTCAAATGTTCATTCCTTGAAACCTTCTTAATAGTTGTAATAAATAAGTTGTATTGTCCGCATTGACAAAATCAATCATAAATAATAGGCCTACTAGATCTAGTACTAGAAATCTACTTAAATACATATTACATAATTACTACATATCAGTCGGGTGTGTGTCTTGACCTCCGCCAAACCCTGACCTGAGACTGATAGAACCCTGGTTGTTGGTTAAGAACCACTAAGCTAAATGGATAGGCCTAGTATTATAGGTCATGTGCTTAAAACACTGAAAAAGTGAAGGCTGTGCACTGTGATGACTGTGCTGTATGATTTTGAGTGAGGAAAGCGGAGAGTGAATTTAAAAATTATTTGGGCCCTAACTAAACTAGTTACTACTTTTTACTGGTAATCTATCGTTTTAGTACGTAAAATCGCCCGTGACTAGTAATGTGAAAAACAGGTAGAACTAACTCCTTAAATTTTAATACTAATTTTACATTTTGAGGAGGATTTATGTTTTGAAAAATACAAAAATGTTTCCTTGTTTCATTTATGTACCTGTTTTTAAACAATTGAATTAAAACATTTCAATAATAAATGAAGATTAGCGATGTTTCCAACAGATGCAACCATGCTCATTTACTATAGCAGCCATCGTTTAAGTTTTTTTTTTGTAAACTTATAGCGCCAGATTCAGGGGAAGCCACTATAGGTAAAATCATGATATAGTGTAGTAAATTATCCAGTGATTTTTGTTGAGTTTCGTAAACATTTGTTACCGTAAACCATAGTTTATTTGACCGTTGAAATAAAAATAAAGTCATGTGCATTAAATTAATGTTTTAACTTAATTTAAAGTTTAACTGACAGAAAATTAGTAACAATTAGTAAATATAAATATTATTAATAAAGTCTAGTGTAGTAATTAATGTTTTTTTTTAAGAAACAGAAAAAATAAACCAGGAGTGATCTCCCCTAAACTTTCTCGAATATTCTTATATAAAACAACAGGGGATGGGAACTTGGGCTATAGACATGATTTTTAATCCATTTTAAATACTTAAAGTTTTAAAAATAGAATAAAATCTCGTAGACAAAAGAATTGCACACCAAGTAAATGCCAAATAAAAAAGTGCATAATAGTGCACAATATTATTAGTACTTTAAAAATTTACATTAGTTTTTTGAGAAATCGGAAGTAGCGTAAATTACTACTTCCGGTCAATGGAAATACTCAAAATTTAACATAAGGTAAAGAATTTAGATCTTTTACTACATGTGAAATTTCATTTATCTATCTGAAATAGTACTCAAGTTATAGGCTTTTGAAAAATTCAAAGTAGAAAAAGTACCACTTCCGGTTACCGGAAATCGCTCAAAAGTTGATACGGATCTACGATTTTGATAAAATACTTATATATGAAATTTCATCAACCTAGCTGTAACGGTCTGCGTTTCTGTAGCGATATTTGTTTTACGAGATAAGGTTGCTGACCTTATGCTCAACCCCCAACCTGGAGGACCAGGGTGCTAGCTTTCGTCTGACCCCTACCCGCGCAGACCTTCCCAGCTTGGTTGAACCTTGGTTGATAGCCTGGATAGGCAGTCAATGTGGAAATTGTTGAGACACTACGGGGTGCCACAGAAAATAGTCAACATTATTATGTCTTCATATGAAGGTCTCAAATGTAGAGTAGTGCATGGCCAACAGACTTCGGAGGCCTTCCCAGTGCGGACCGGAGTAAGGCAGGGTTGCCTACTTTCACCATTCCTGTTCCTACTGGCCATAGACTGGGTTATGAAGATGTCAACAGAGAAAACGCGAAACGGTATACAGTGGACATTGTGGAGCCAGCTGGATGACCTGGACTTTGCTGACGACCTGGCCCTCCTTTCTCACACACAACAGCAAATGCAGGATAAAACCAACAGGGTTGCAAATTTTTCTACAAGCCTGGGTCTGAACATCCACAGAGGGAAAAGTAAAGTTCTCAAAGTCAATGCATCAAACAACAACCCTATAACACTGGCAGAAGAAGCCCTAGAAGAAGTGGATAGATTCACCTACCTTGGAAGTATTGTTGATAAGCAGGGTGGGACAGAAGCAGACATAAAAATAAGGACGGGTAAGGCAAGAGCAGTCTTCAACCAACTAAAAAATGTTTGGGGTTCGGGAGATTTAACCCTTAGAATAAAAATCCGGATCTTCAACACACTAGTAAAACCTGTTTTACTCTATGGAGCCGAGACATGGAGAATAACTGCTATAAATAAGAAGAAAATACAATCATTTATAAACGCATGTCTCAGAAAGATCCTGCGAATTCGCTGGCCTAAAACCATCAGAAATGATGTTCTATGGCAACGGACAAATCAACTGCCAGTGGAAGTAGAGATCCTCCAGAGAAAATGGAAATGGATTGGCCACACACTCAGGAAGCCTGTATCCAGCATAACAAGACAGGCCCTCACCTGGAATCCACAAGGCAGGAGGAAGAGAGGCAGACCAAGAAAGACCTGGAGACGTGACCTGGAAGAAGACACCAAGAAGATTGGATACACCTGGGGACAGTTGGAGAGACTAGCCCTGGACAGAGACGTCTGGAAAGCTCTTGTCAGCGGCCTATGTCCCAGTAGGGACGACAGGCAAACATGACATGAGCTGTAACGGTACTCAAGTTATAGTGTTTACACACGGACAGACAGACACACAGACATACGGACAGAATTGCAAAGCCCAGTTTTTCAGACTCGATTATGCATAAAACCTCTTAATTTTGATAAATCTGGATTGATAATTTTTGCCCGATTAAAATAAGTCCTCTATACTTTGGATGTGATGAAGGACTGAGGTGTAATACGGTGAAAATTGTTAAAATTTCAAGTAATTTTTGTGCACGATTACAATACTTTCTCTATACTTCGTATATACGAGAAAGTAAAAACATGCAGAAGATTTGCGACAACTAGTTCTAGATCCAATAAAATAAGACGATTAGATTAATTTTACTGAAGTTAAAAATAGTAAAAAGAACTAGAACAATGTTTAGTAGCAGCAAAAATTAGCATATACACTTGCAATAATTAGAAATACAAAATAATTAGCAAAACAGTATTTAAAATGCAACTAGAATCAATCTATGCACATTTTTAAACATTATGTATAAAAATAATATGGTGGCAAATAAATGATGGTTTACAGTATTTTTGGTGGTTTCCGGAACGGCTCGGCAGACTACGCCATGGTTTTACTGTTTTTTACTGCTGTACAATTACTGAATAATAAAAGACGCTATATTGTGATTTTACCCCATTCTTATTTGCAAATGGCTGCTGTTTATATAGCAAATCTTGCTCGCAAACACTGCTAAGATTATTTCTGGCCTATATTGATATATTTAGTATTATTTAGTATTTCGAAGTGACTACTCGGAAAAAGATTTTTCTCCCCAACGTCTCCACTTAGTTGGCAAAAGATAGTTCTGCGCATGCGCAGTGACCTATGGATGGGGTTTGGGTTAGGATTAGGGTTCTGCGGTTGTAAACATGCATGCGCAGTACCATCGAAAACATCGTCACGATGGCAAGTAGTAGTTTCTCTCCATTGCGAATCTGCCTTAGTATTTAGCTGTTGATTTAGGTTTATTATTCATTTATCTATAGCCTAATATTTGACACAAATATATCACAATATTATATAGTAGTATACTTCTATTAATTAAAGCCTTGACAATGAGGTAACTTTTTCGTACATTACTTGCTGCGGGCAATTTTACGTACATAAAATGATAGATTACCTTTTAGTACCACAACTATTAACTAGATCTAAGATTTAGAATAATTTAGATCTAGAATCTAGATCTAAAATCTAGAGGCGAGGTCAGGTGTTGTCTAGTCTTAAGAATAAGATCTAATTATAGATCTAGTAATTATTTAATCTTAGTAAGACTAATAGTAGGCCTATAATGATAATCAGTAATCTAGAGTTGTTGTTTTTTCTAGATCTAGCTAGTAGCTACTAAAGTCTAGTAGCTCTAGCTAGATAGATAGATCTGCTAGTTTATTGGCTAGACTAGATCTACTTAGTCTAGAATCTAGATTATTAGTATTTGAATTTGTATTTAAATTTTCATCAGCTTCTTTTCTAGATCTAATCTAGATCTAGAGATTATTGTAGTTTTACTTTTGTCAGTAAAAAAAAGATGTGAAATAAAGCCTACCTGTCCATACACTTAGTCCTAAATTATAATTTGGGGATTAGTGAGACTATAAGATGTTATATCTAAATAAATAAAGAGCTTGTTTTATTTTAAAAACTGAAGGGGTAGGGAAATCTTTTTCTTTATCTTAGGGATTTAGTAGGTTTTGCTTTGTGGTCACTCCAAGCACCAAGAAGAGTTGCAAAATAAAAACGGATCTCGATCTATGTTCTAGACAAAGTCTAAATAACAGCCGCTAAATTAAAGCTAACAACTTTTTTAAAAACCTAATGAATGATGAATCGGTTTCTAGTTTCTAAAATGCCGATAAATTATGTACTGTTTCAGTTTGGTGGACGAAATTTTAAACGTAGGTATACGATCTTATTCTCTTGTTTCTCTCAAATTTTGAGTGATTACGGTGAATAAAAGTATTACTTATGTAGCACTATGCAGTCCTAGCTAGGTTAACTTCCAGTTAAATGATATACAATTGCAAATCAGAAACATTAAATGACAAGTGGATTGAAAACAATGATATTTGATCACACAATGATTATTTTTTAATATTGGTTTACTGAAGGGGTCTCCAAACTACGGCCCGCGAGGCCCTCTGATCCGGTCCGTGGAGATCTTTTTGTCTACGGAAAAATGTTTCGGAAATTTCTATGTATCCTGCAACATCAGCATTACGTAAACGTCATGTTTTTACCGAATTAGAATAGAATGAATAAGGGGTATGTTGTGTTTTCCATCCGATCACTACAGTTTCAGTAGCGATTTTGTGAACTGGATTCAAAGGCAGAAGTAGAAAGTAAGATTGTTTCAAAACACATTTTAAGCAAATGTGGCCATTGCAGCTGGAGGTCATTGAGTTGTAAGAAAATGACCTCATGTGGGACAAGTTCAAAGAAGGACTGTTTTTTTTTACAAGTTTTTCCCCAAGGAAGACTTTTCTAATCTAAAAACGTTTGTATCAAAGTACCTTTCAATTTTTGAAAAAACATACCTGTTAGAACAAACATTTTCAAGAATGAAATACGTGAAGAACCATTTGAGAACAAACTTGTCCAATGATAATCTCAGGTCACTGTTCATGTTAGGGTCATCAAATCTGTCACAACAACTGAAAGATTTAGATGTCGCAGATGACCTCTGCTTTCTCGCACATAGTCAAAAACAAATACAGAACAAAATATATATTAATCTAATAGTGGCACTGACCACGACGTTCATTTTAGAATTTACATTGAAGAATTGCTCAATGCTAGTGTGTAATTTTCATGTCTTATCAAGCAGAGGCGTCTCTAGGTCGGGTGTCACCCCGTGTGCTATTCAAGGTGTCACCCCCCTCGAACACCAAATTAAAAACAATTATAGGCTATATATATATATATATATATATATATATATATATATATATATATATATATATATATATATATATATATATATATATATATATATGCTCATTCCTTATATATATTTTTTTAATTCAAAAGGAACAAAGTAACATTTCATGGTTTTCTCGATAGTTAGCATGGTGCACATGACCCTCCCCCCCCCCCCCCAGCAGAGGCGTAGCTAGGGGAGGGCGGCCGCCCCGGGCGCCGACCATAGGGGGGCGCCAAAAGGGGTAGAAATTTTTTTTATTAAAGTTCATTTTAAGCTGCGGTTTTGAATTATAAACAGTCAAGGTAAAGAAATTTAACGGCTGCGAGCCCTTGCATATTGATTAAACTGTTTTTTACCTTGATTGTGTAACTGTAAAACGTATATCCTTAAGAAATAGTGACAGGAAAAACCGCTTTCCAGCTTTCCTAGATGAGGGGGGGGGGGGCGCTTTTTCGAAGACTAAAATCGGAAAAATTCACACCGGATTAAGGAATAAATAACCGATATCACCCAGAGAAGAAACACATTGAACTAAAGCGTATTTTTGTAACATAAAAAAAAAATATTAGTGACGTTTAAAATTCACTCTACCATTTTTGTGCAGGATGGTAGGGCACTTTTTCACCAACAAAAACCGAAGGATTTGTACTGGATAGCTTACTAGATAACTCTTTTAACACTTATAAAAGAAATCAATTGTATTAACACTTAATGTACGATTTCACTACCCAGTTTTGCTAAGTATTAATGCGACTAGTTATTTGTACGATTCTTACGATTCTCTAAACTTGATCGTGAGAGATCAGATACTTTTACTTGATTGCAATACATCTTGCCTGGGTCACTGCATTAAAGAGAAATAAATATCACGGATTCTTGTATCGCTATCCGATCAGTAAAATAGCAGACTGTCGGCGCGAGTGGGTGGGAAGCGACACTCTTTGCCAAAATTTGAAGAGAGAAAAAAATTAGTATATTGTACTGATTATTTACTTTGTTCAACTGATAGTTCAAAGTTGTAATATAGGCCTACGATTATCGAAATTTTCTAAAGACACGACCAAAAATAGACTAAACAAGCTTGCACCTTCTACAAAATACACTCTTAAGCAGTGATTCTTAACTTTTTGGAATCACCGAACCCTTCTTAATGGTTGTATCGTCCACACAGACAAAATCCGATCGTGAATCATTAAAAAAATTGTGCTAAACGAATTAGCACAGCTACAATTTTAATTTTTTTTCTGACATTACTAATCATCATTTTTAAAGGATCTTAACGGGAATTTTATTGTGAAGTTTTATGGAACGACAATCAGCGAAATTGTTAATTTTTTTCCAGACTGTCGCACACACAAACACACACACGTATATATATATTTATATATATACATACATACATATATATATATATATATATATATATATATATATATATATATATATATATATATATATATATGGGGTGGGGCGCCAAACTGAAAGTTCGCCCCGGGCGCCAGGAGGGGTCGCTACGCCTCTGCCCCCCCCCCCCCCACCCCCTTGTCCGGATCGTTAAAAAATTAAAATTAATTTAATTTTTTTTTAAATTTTAAATAATTTTTAACTCTAATTAATCATTTATTGACCTGTGAAAAAGCATTTTTCTTCTATACATTGTGCTATTTTTTTTTATCTTGGTGTCACCCCTAAATTGGTGTCACCCGGTGCGGTCCGCGCCCCTCGCCCCCACCTAGCGACGCCTCTGTTGTCAAGAAAAACTAACTGAGATTCTGGACACACCTGACTGTGAAGTCTGTATTACTTTACGTCTGAAAGACCCGGAGAACTATAAATAATCTAAAAGGCTTAATGAACGAGTCTTTTAAACATATCTTGATAGCACAGTTGCTGGATAAAATCTTCCATTGAAGAGCGAAATAACAGGAAGGAAAACGGGTTGGATAGGACACACCTATAAATACATTTGATAACAAAACATAGCAAGTGCTGACAGTGGCGTAGCCAGGATCGTCTCAAGGGGGGGGTTCCAATTTTTACCCGGGGACAAACTTTCGATTTGCACCCCCCCCTCAAACTTTCGATTTGCACCCCCCCCTCAAACTTTCGATTTGCACCCCCCCCTCAAACTTTCGATTTGCACCCCCCCCTCAAACTTTCGATTTGCACCCCCCCTCAAACTTTCGATTTGCACCCCCCCCCTCAAACTTTCGATTTGCACCCCCCCCCTCAAACTTTCGATTTGCACCCCCCCCCCTCAAACTTTCGATTTGCACCCCCCCTCATACTTTTTATATATACCGAGGGGTCTATGGGGGGGGTTATGACCCCCCCTAACCCCCCCCCCTGCCTACGCCACTGAGTGCTGATGTCTAATCAGCAAGGGAAGAGGAAGAAGGGGAGACCGAAAAAGTCACGGATGAGATAGTACAAAAGAGATGGGGGGGGGGGGGGGGGCTGAGTTGTCAGTGTATAAGCTTTAAAAAGTAATCAAAACTCGAAATCTTTTAACAAGTGTCATCTAGGCCGATGCTTATTTGGGATCAAATTACAATGAGCAATTAAAACGAAAACGGTTTTTATAAAATTATCACAAGAACAAGTTACTAATTTTATTACTATACAAAATACTCAAAAATAGATCACTAAATTAAATATATTACGTGTGTGCTGTATTTGTAGCTGTCTAATTATTGTATGTTTAAAAACATAAATCCTAGTTTTATATTCTTAGAGCTTCAAATTTGTTGAGTCTCCCCCACCATCAGAGCCAAACTAATTTTTTTTATAGATAACTCCCTCAGACCACGGTATATATTTGTCTTTAACACGTAGCGAGGGGGGGGGGGGGGCGAGGGGTACATATGTCCCCGGGTGCAAAAAGGGGTTGAAAAAAAATTAAAAGCTTATTTTAGCTGCAATCTTGCATTATAAATAAATATTAAAAAATATATGGTGGGGGGGGGGGGTGGGAACAAAATTGAAAGTTTGTCCCTGGGCGCCGGGAAGGGTAGCTACACCTCCGATACCAACAAAGTAAAACTCTATTATCTGTTCCGTTTAAATTAATAGAAGCTTTTAAACTACAATGAAATAGTCGTTACTCTTTTAAAATAAAAACAGTGTATTTCTTTACATCATCCTTTATTATTTTATTAAATAATATTTGTCATGTATGATCTGTTCTTATAAAAAAAAAACAGGTAACAGATAGAACTAGGTAGGCATTTGGGGATCTGGAACGGATTAATGGCATTTCAATTAATTTCAAAAGAGAAAAATGCTTTGCGATACAGAGACTATGCGGGGGGGGGGGGGGGGGGTGGGGTGGGGGGGGGGGGCGGTGTACATATGTCCCCTGGTGCCGACCTTTGTAGTGCCAAAATAGGTTTGAAAAAAGAATCAAAAGCTCAATTTAGTTGCAGTTTTGCAATATAATTATAAAAATATATGGGGGGGGGGGGATGTACAAAATTGAAAGTTTGTCCCCGGGCGCGGCGGGTAAGGGTCGTTAAGCCTCTGTTGCGATACGAACAATGTGACATACCAGCAATGTTACGGGTGGAGTTAAACTCATATCTAGAGGCACCACTATATACAAACACACACACACACACACACAAAACACACACACACACACACACACACACATATATATATATATATATATATATATATATATATATATATATATATAT